TATGCTTTTTAACAGTATTGGCTAATGTATTAAGAAGTTTCTGTTACTAGTTTCACAATATTTTTGCTAAAACATATGAACAGCTATTACCATGTTTTTATTATTACCATTAGAACATACCATATAACTTAATCTCTCTAACAAAAAAATATAGCATTAAACCTTGTTGGAAAAAATAATAAATGCTTCAATTGAACCTATATCTTGACTTGTTTGTGTGAAAGAACATGTTTTAAACAATATTCTGTACTGCAGTGTTGGCCAAAGGGGAGGCTACAGATTTGGTTATCTACAGACAGACAGACAGACTGACTGCTTCACTATTGCTCTTCTGAGCTGTAGTGAGAAATAGAAAACTTAACCTTGGTGAGCCAGGGGAATGGGAGCAAAGAGAGTAGCTTTTTGCCAGGCATCTTAGGAATCCAACTAGACTTGGAACAGATAATAGTTGGAAGAATTTAGTTCAGCATTTCTTCTCAGTTGGATCCAGAAGTCAAGCCAATCTATCACAGGATTAGATGGAAGTGTTGTCTAGGTAAAGGGTTTAAGTGTTTAACTGGTAAGACATGTTGTTCTCTCAAAGATGTTACAGATTCCTTTCTCTCTTGCAGGGTTTTGGGGGTTTAGCTTATTCAGCTTTTCTCTTTTTTTTTCTTTATTTTTTTTCTTTTTAAAGAAAAGATTATACAGCATATTGTGTCCCCTGTATAAATCAGTATGTTTCATTGATACCACAGGAATGAAGACTTGGAAATTTGTTTTCCACCACCTTGGGGTCTACCTTGCATTTTTATCTGTTTAAAGTAAGATAGATGTCTCTTGAAGCAGAATCCTTACACTTGATGTTAGCAGGGAGTGTAGTTTCCAAAAGGTGGGTTGTTTTTAATCCAGCTGTAACTGTAGAGACAACTGACAAAATGAAAACATTTCTCTGCTAATGGTTGACACCTATTTTTCAGAGCTGGAAATCAATGCAGGGCAGAGGAGAATCCAGCTTTCAGTCTCTTTGGTAGAAAGTACACAGTCTGACTGAGTAATCCAGGGGCCATGAAGAACCCTGAGCCTCTCTGTGCTGCTTAGATGACTTCAGAGACCATGAACTCCTTCTACATCCCACCTGTCAGAGCCACAAAGTCATCTCTGAACTTCTTTTATCTTATGTCCACTTTCCCAGTGAAGGAAGGCTTGGTGAAGAAACAGGCTCTCTCTGCCCTGCTTCTGCAATTGCTTCAGTACCTACTGCAACACAGGTTAGTCTAGCCCAAAGAGAAGGATGAGAGGATGTCACAAAGGGTCTGACAACTGGTGCAGGACTTGTGTCTTCATTAGTTTTGCACCTGTTTTTACGGTTTTGTTTTGTATTTTTTTTCTGTGCATGAAGCTACTTCAGACATGCCTCTTATCACAAAGAAAGATTCTGCATAATTAATTCTCAGCATTATGGTCCCACTTGATAATTAATTTATTCATTCTCTTATGGTATAAATGTTTCTCTACTTAACCAACGGACTTTGGTAATAGTTCTCTGAATAATTGATTCCTATTGCTGTTGATTCTCCCCATTTTTATTTAATATCAGGAATGATTTGCTGTATAACTTCCTCATTGCTTAACTTATAATCTACACAATTGCTTGGTATCAAAATTGATTCACTGCTTAACTGTCCCACAAGAAAATGAACAGCAAGTAATGGCCATCCACTTTTCACCTCCATTTACTTTCTCTACATCTGCCTCTTCCTTTCTTTACATGACAACCCAAATTGTGCCTGACATCCATTTCAGACCCTCAGCCCAGTACAAAATGTCACTGCTGCCATCAGTCCTCTGGCCCATATTCAGGTTCCTCCAGCCCCCTTTAGTGTCTTTCCCCATTGCTCTCCCAGCTCTGGCTCTGTCATATATTCTCAGCCTGTTTTTCAAACCTTTATGATCATCTCTTCTGTCCTCCTTTCACCAATTTAAGTTCATGTCTGTACCCTCTACACACATTTTTACCTACTGCTAATGCTTGTAATCTTTCTTTTGCACATCTACACCTGGAAGACACCTCTGGGCTACTCCACAAAGCCTCTTCTCTGCCTCATCCTTAAAATCTTCCCTCAAACCCACACTTTCTGCACTGCACACAATGCCTGCTATACCAGAGGCCACTACAGTATTACCGTCCTCATATGACAGTGGTAAAACTTTAAAACTGCTGGCAACACACCCAGATTGCTCCTGCATCCTTGCACACACCATCACACAGCTCCTGATCCTAATTCTCTTTACAGATATCATGTCCTTCTTAAAAAGCACACATAGGCTGCTGACTTTGTCTTGTATATTTGCACTGCCCTGCCTGAGATACTGGGGAAAACTAAATAATAGATGCATTTCCAGAAAGTTAAAAAGCCAACGCACAATAATCCCTAGGGAGGAAAGGTTGCACCAGTAGAGATGAGCCCCAAATTCCAATCTACTCCTTTCTTTTTCACTTGCCTGGAAATTATATATTTTTTCCAAATCTTCTGCCAGTATGAACCAGATCTCTGAGGATCAATTAAAATGCAGCACAGAAAGTCCTCTCTGGCAATCCCACTGCAGGATTCCTTTAGGAAATAAGTAAGATCAGGGTTGAAGGGACACGAAATTCTTATTTGCAACTTATATTATTCCCAGCATGTAAAGATAAATAAGAAACTCCTATGGATAATCTCCTCCCTGACTTCTGTCTTCCCGCATACAGCAGTCAAAAGCAGCTGCTGCTGCCCCTCTCTATCATAACAACAATTCCTCCTGCCTTTATTCAGTCAAAGGTGGTGAATACATAAATATTTTGTATACAAGGTAATTCTTGGGTTAGCAGGAAGGGATATTGGTCCAAATTGCCCTCCATTGTGATGTACTCAGTTTTGATAGCTTTAAACACAGATGGTATTTATCTGTTCATTCTACAGGAAAAACACATCAGATGAGAACATAGCAGGATTTAATATTCTAATATAAATGTCATTTCTTACTGCTGTCAACCATAGCACTTGAATAAATATTATACCTCCTTCCTTCAAGAAATCACAGCAGGGTTATCTCTGGCAATTGAACCAGCTTCCAGGAAGATGCACTCTTCTGGTGGATTCTGCAAGGAGTTCAGTGCATGACCCCATTTTAAGATCTCTGGAATAGCTCTTTAGCGACTCAGAGGATCAGGTCAATTGGTTTAAACCTCGTCTGGCTCCCAAGGCTGAATTGGAGCGGCACTGACAGGCAGCAACAGCAGCAGCTACTGCTGCCACCTACGGGTAGCATCATTTTGGCTTCGTTCCGCAGCGATCCTTTCTTCCTTACAAGCAGTCTATAGCTGTTGGCTTGTCTAAACAAGTATAAAGGAAGAAATCTCATACTCATCGCTGATTTGTCCTCTAAAAGGAAAAACAGAGGAAGGACTTCACCTATGCATCCCCATGAAAAGAATCGGAGAATATTTTGAGCACTTACAATTATTGTCTGATGTAGATAATGAAAACAATGGTATCTTTTTGTTTTATTCCTTCGGTGTTTTGGGTGCTGCCTTCACTTTAAAATCACTGGAGCACTGTCATCCCTGGCATAACAGCGCTGAAATTACTAGAAATGCACCTTTTCTTTTGCATATTCATGTGAAAGTTGTTACAGCCCTCTTCTTCCATTCAATGTGGAAAAGCATTCATGCACTGGTGACTGTCATTCTTTTCCATACTGGGAGGTTTTTAGCTTTTTCCATTTAGAATTAAGAACAGTTTGGGGCATTCATCACCCCTGACAGCTGTTAATCCCTCTGAACTCTATACAATTACTGCGTTAAAATATTTTAAGTAACAGCACTAGTTAATGCTATTTTGGTGCAGTTGTGGTACTTTTAGTTCATTAGTCTGTCTCTGACAGTGGCTAGTCCCAGATGCTTGAGGTGCAAAATGAAGAACCTCAATAGCAGAGAATTAATGCAAGGGCACAGGAACCAGTCCCTTTCTATTATAGGGAACTTGTATTGTAAAATCCCTTTCACAAACGAATCACACTCATCTAAGAACTGATTTCGGTTTTTGATCCCTCCTGATTCCTGTGGAGAAGCTTTCCCGGCTTTTCACAAGCTGTACTGTTGAGAACAAAACCTTTTAATTTCCAATCTACATTTATTTACAGCCACTTTATACCAAATGTTCTTTTACCAGTAATGTTCTTTCACATAAATAGTAGTTATATTTTTTCCCATTTTTACTCTTCCATTTTGCTTACAGATGCAAACAAGAACCCCTCTCAAGCTTTGTTTTGCTTAGTTAAACAAGAGTTTCTTTTAATCACCCACAATTGAAAGGATGCTTATGCTTCGCTCCCCTTAATTATCCTGTTTACACAAGGGTCTCAGTTTCAGTTGGATTCATCTTTACTGTACTGAAGAGGCCAGAACTGTATTTCATACTGAAATTACATTATACTCAAGGGTCAATGAAACTCTCCATGTGAACCACTGAAAAGATCCTATTTGATACACCTTGGAGTTACATTTGCTTTTCTTGCAGCCATAGCACATTGGTGGGTCAACTAATACATCCCAGAGCTCGCTTTACCCTCCTTCAGTTTTCACCTAGAAGTACAGAAGATATTGTAATTAATCCTTATTTTGCACTTTGCATTACTTTGCTATGTCTGTTACCCTAGTTTCTAAGGTCATTCACCACTTGTTCTGTCTCTGCAGATCTCACTTTTACAACCAAGGGGCTTGTAACTCCATAGATCACTGAATGCTGTGTGCCTGCAGGGATGAAGTTTTCAGGACACAAAGCATTTGCTTAATTTATAGTCTTTAAGTAGGGTCTATTGGCTTTCAAGGGGTAATGGATAGATTAAAGTCAAGCATTAAGCAAGTTAGAATCATGAAATAGAAAGTTTTTTGTCACATTAACTCTCCTGGCTTGCAACTGCACCAGTCCTGCCTTTTCATGCAGAAATTAGTCACCAATGCTCAGTTACCAAAACAGATAATTCTGAAGTTACTGCAGCCTACGGAAGGTGCCTCCAGAAGTCAAGAAATCTGCCTGCTGGTAGTACACAACAATCTCCAACACGAAGAAAAACATCAAAAGTAGGATGTGGAAGATCGTAGAGTCATTCCAAGGTTGGAAGGCACCTTAAAGAGCATCTGGTTCTAGCCTCCCTGCCATGGGCAGGAACATCTTCCATTAGACCAGGTTGCTAAAAGCTCCATCCAACCTGGCCTTGAGCATTGCCAGGGATGGGGCATCCATGGCCTCTCAGGAAAACCTCTTCCAGTGCTTCACCACCCTCACAGTAAAGAATTTTTTACTAATATCTAGTCTAAACCAACTCTCTTTCAAGTTTAAGGTCATTCCCCACTGTCCTGCCACTACATGCCCTTGTAATTAGCCTCCCCATCTATCTTGTGGGCCCCCTTTAGGTACTGGAAGGTGCTGCAAGCTCTCCCTGGAGCCCTCTCTTTTAGGGATTGGGATTGGGAAAGAATCCCAATTCTTTCAGCCTGTTCTCCTGTAGAAGAGGTTCTCCAGCTCCCTGATCATGTTCATGACCTTACTCTGGACCAACCTGGCAGGCACACATCCTTCATCCATTGGGGACCCCTGGGCCAGATGCACTACTCCAGATGGAGTTCCACAACAGGCAAGTAGAGAGAGAGGATCACCTCCCTCAATCGAGTGACATGACACTGGAAAAGGAAACAAAATTAACATGCTGATCTCTGACACAAAAATAGAAATTTGTCTGCCCTAGGAGATCTCTGTAGCTCGTGGTAGTGACTTTGCTTTCATTAGAGAAGATGAAAAGGGGCACTGTGTGATAGCCAGCGTGTGTGGGTGCATCTGACCCTGAATGGGCTGGCTCCAGTTGCAGTCAGAGCCTCAATCTGTACAGCACTTCTTGCACCCATTGTCTGCCATCACGTCCAGGCACAAAAAACAACTGAAAAATGCAAACTCGCAGATAATATAAAAGAAGATACTTCTTCTTTTATAGTCATAGTTTTGCTTAGTCATAGTTTTGCCTTTCAACTACCATAATAAGCACAGGGCTTTGAAAGGGATCATCAAAGAAAGTATCAAAGAAAACCCACTGCACCAGTTTCTGAATCATCCATAGAATGAAAAGACAACTGCCTGCAGACCCACAAATGTCAGCAATTAGTGCTGTGCTACTGCCAGGCAGTGTGCATGAAACAGCCAAGCAGATGCAGTGAACTTATTAGGCGTATTTCTGCTTTTACTTACAATGAAAACAAACACGGCCGTGCGAGTCAGCCCACTGATGTCCCTGACCATCAACAGTGCAGTAGTTTAAGAAATGGCTATCCATGCCATCTGCCAGTATAATGATATCTCTCTGATACACAGAAGTAATATTTATAGTTTATTTCGTAAAACCACCAAGGCCTTCTACTGTTCTTCTTCTTCTACTGTTCCACAGCAGCTGGAGGGAGGTGTTGCTAAAGACCTGCTGGCCTTGTGTACATGCAGTCTCAGCTGCAGTGACACTGCCACGTGCCATGCTGGGTCACCCAACTTTGCATTTATATAGATACACCTGAATGATGCCATCTTCATGCTGGTTTGCTGTAATTATTGATTCTAGTAGGAAGAAGCAAAGGTGCCGTGTGCTTTTTTCTGTGAATTTGTATCTAACAGGAAAAAAATATCAACTTGCTCTGAAGTAAGTGCTGCCTGGAGAAAATGGCAGTGGGATGAAATGACTTCTTCTCCTATTAATTTCCTACAAATATTAAGTAGCGTGTCTTTACAACAGCACATAAGGAAAAAAAAAAACCTTGTTTTCCTGTATTCCTCAGAAATCTGTATTTTTGGCAGAACCAAACAAACAACACACCTGGCCCACTCTAGTACTTAGGGCATCTGTTCAATGGTTAAGGCTCCAGACCCACCAAGTTGTCCAATCCTGGGCATCACTTGGTTAATAACTTCAAGCCCCGAAATCTCAGTCCAAAATTGCAGAGCGACAAGTTCTGTTTGAAACTGTTTGTCTGGTTTAGGGGTTACACCAGCAGTGCTGCGCTGGCGGTAAAACTAGATGATCTCAAAGGCCTTTTCCAGCCTTGACGACCCCATGATCCCAGGATTTTATGGTTTTGTGACCGGGGAGTGTCCGTCTCCACCGCATCGAGCCCGGACCGCCCTCGAAAACACCGCCCCACCGAAACGCGGCCCGCCCGCGCCGCTCTTCTCGCCGCGGCCGCTCTGTGAGCCGTAGAATCAACCGCCGTCGCTGGCGGCGTCACCAGCCGTGTTTGGCCGCGTCCCGGAGGCGGAAGCGGGACGGCGCCTGTGGCGGAAGTGAGCCACCGGGGCGGCGTGTGCTCGGCCATGG